TGTTAACCAAGCGGAGAGAGCAGGCAGGAGAACCAGGAAGGCCAACCAACAAGTTCAAGGCTTCTGTTGGCCACTGGTTTATGACACTCAGTAGATGCTGAATTCCTTTACAGTTCCTTTCCCTTATAATAAGCACAGGATGAGGTGTTAGAGTCTTGAGCTTTGAAAGCAGAAGACCTGGGTTGGAGGGTCATTTCTCATTGGCTACTTGATCTTCAGATGCTGATGCAACATTTTCAAGTCATAGTGTCCTCATCTGCAAAGTGGGTATGATAATGTGGTCCTGTAGAGAGGTGGAGATGTGGCCTTGGCGTATTCTCTGTGTCCCGGTTGGGCCCATGTTATGGACACTGCCTCTAACCATAGCTCTGTTCTCTGGCTGTCTGGCATAAACAGCCTGTGTTCTTAGGAGTCTGAGTCCTGGTGGATACACTGCGGGAAATGCTAAATGGAAGGTGATACATTCTAGCTGTAATTCCACCCAACACTACTGATCAGCTGATACCAGCTAGTGAACTATGGTTACTGTCTACTTGTGAGTCAAGACGTGGGTACTTCGTTTCCCTGGTTCTGCACTTTGTGGGTGACTTGACTTAAGTTCAGATGGTAGCTAGCTTAAATATGGAGGAGGGGTTAACTACTAGGAGCAGAAAGGGGAGGGAAGGTCTGACCAGCTTGAGTAAGGGTCAGAATCCATTAGGGCACAATTCAGCAGAGATAGCCAAGCCTGCACCTGGGCCACAGGGGTGTTCACACACAGCAGAGAACGGCAGAGTTCCAAGGTGGGTGAGGACGCTGCATGGTAAATTCCACTTGTTAGAGGCAAAAGCAGCAAGCCAGCTAGATGGTCAGGCTGTGAGCTTGGGCACGGCTATGCCCATGCTGAGGACTCCCAGGATGTTAGGCCCAGGCTGGCGACCAGGAGGAGGGTCGGGGTGCTGGATACTAATTTGGGGAGGGTTAAGCCTGGGACTGGAGTATAGAGTGGATGCAGTGGTCAGAGGGCGGCCCTATGGTCTGAGCTCTCCTAGAGGTCAGCTCAGAGACACCCACTTCTCATTGCACCTGCACCAGGGGCTAGGGTGTCTCCAGTACTCTCAAGAGCAAGGGCCTGCTAGGCCACCAGGCTGCTGTCCCTCCAGCACCAGTAATCTGAGGAGCTCTAGGCTCTGGGCCACAGTCTCAGATTCTCTTGGAGCTGTGGTGCTGCAGGACCTGGTCAGCTGCGAGTGAATCCCTCTGCATGGTGCCTCAGGGCCCTCCTGTTGCAGCTCTGTCCTGTATGGTCTTAGGCTTCCCTGAAAGTCACCTCTTGGCCTCTGCACACACTGTTCCCTTATCAGGAAGACCATCTCCCCTCTGGCCTGGCTCTCTCTTCACTATTCTTCAACACCTAATCAGTGCATAACTTTTACTGATGACCAAGCCAGCCCTCTGGGTATAGTGCACCACCTGAGCCTGCAATTACAGGACAATTGTCATGGGGGGTTAGAGACAATGAATAAATAAAGGTGCAGGGTCCTTATCTCTGACTCACCATGGTGAGGGCCTGGGGGAGGAAGAGGAGAAGCCTGGAGAAGGGGAGCAGGAGAGAGGAAGAAAGAGAACTAGGTGTGGTGTGATATTCACCACAGTGGAAGCATGCATATGGTGCTGGTTGGGAAAGTCTGCAGGTTTCCTGGAAGAGAGGATGTGTGAACTGTTGCTTGAGTAACAGTAGCATCTCAGCAAAAGGATGGGATTTGGACAGACCTCCTCAACTTCGGGCATCAGCCGCAAAGCTGTGGCTGGAGGACAGGGTAGACCTAAGGGGAGTATGGAAAGTCACATCAGAAGTAAGAAATACTCTGTAAATATGAGTTCCAAGGCTTCTGATCCCAGGAAGCACTGGCCATCAAATACACATCAGCAAAAGAGCAGAGGACTTGGAGTAGCACCATCCACGTGCCTGTGTGCTGGTCTCTATTGTCTGAGCACATGGAAGGAGGAGACCCTTTAGGTGTGGGTTCTTCTGATTTGGTGGGAGTTGGGTCCTGTCTTACCCCAGGCCATGAGCTCCTGAGGATTCACAAACCAGTGATCAGGGTGGTGTTCCAGGGGCAACATGGAAAACTCCTGCCCAAAGAGGGAGTGGACTGATTCTAAGAAAATGAGGGTAAAACCAATACACCTGTCAAGTCCTGTACACTATGGGCCTCTTTGTCCCTGAGGCCCTCGTTATGGTCTTCAGTAAGGTGCTCAGGTAAGATCACTCAAAGCTGATCACTTCTCTTCCCAAATCATCCAAGGACATTTCACCCAAAGTGGAACAAATAATGAATCCAGACTCAGGTAGCTTGTAAAATCTCCAGTGTTTTCAGGATGTTTGGAGGAGGAGGATGCTGGACCTGGTGGATTTCTGTCTATCAGGACAGCATGGTTGAGTCCAGAATCTGCACCCCTTGGAAGCACTCCCTTGTAGCATCCTACTGTCTTTACTGGAACAAAGTCCTTGAGGCTGGGATTTGTGGAAAGAAGAGAGGCTCATGCAGCTTACAGCTCTGAAGGTTCAAGGGCATGGCACTGGCCTAGGCTCAGCTCTAGTGAGGACCTAAAGAAAAATGTGAGAGTGACAGAGGGAAAGGTCACATGGTGAGACATCATCATCCCCATAACGTAAGAGTCTCCCACTAGCTTCACACCTTGCTATGCTGGGAACCAAGCTTCCCAGGGCACAAACCACATTTGACTCACAGGATCTAGGACTCAGGAACCACAAGACTCAGGCCACCACCCCACCAGAAATCGGCCCTTATTGGATTTTGGGACCAGATGAATCTGGTCCAGGAAAGAAAGTGGGACAGAGGCAGGATGAGGTGTGGATTGTCCAGGTGAGAGAGCAGAAAGCTCTGCAGGTGCCTGCAGTTGCTCTGTACCCATCTGCTCCAAAGGTCCTGCCCTCTGCCTGCCTGCAACCTATGCTCTTACACAAAGTTCTAATTGAGCATGGCTCCCTTCCTGTGTTGGAAGTCGTGTGCCTTAGGAAAATCAATCCCACTATAGGGGGAAACAGACTGGTTTCCTGCTACTGCTCACATTTTCACTAAAACCCCACTTTACTGGAACCAACACTGGAAAAAAAAGCAGCACATTTTATTCAAAACAAGGCGATATTGTTATTGACAGAGCTGTAGCGATAATGAGGACGATCAATTTTCCCTCCTCCATTATGGGGCATTGAGCAGTTTTGGAGTAAACTTGTGGCACCATTAGACAAGATCAGCATTTCTCCTTTCTGAAAACTTTTCCTTTCTCCCTCTCTCTTTTTTCTTTTCTTCTATTTAAATTGGAAGTATTATTGCTCAGTTGAAAAAGAAAAAAAAAAAAAAGCAACAACAACAAAAAGATCAAAACCAAAAGTTCCCAAAGAAATAAGCGAAGTGCTGGTAATAAAAACTGGATATTGTAGACATTTCTTTTTGTTCTTATTAATAATACATTGTAATGTTATTTTTGCATCTTTCTTCATTCAGACCATCTCCCCAACTCTCACCCCAAATTAAAAGAGTACAGTTACCCAATGCAATAACCCAGGTCTGGTGGAGGGAACACTCAGGGCAGGATGGTGGCTGCCCTTTTCTGTCTCCAGCACAGGGGAAGGCGGGGGAGGATGCAGGAGACACGGTCACAACATCACAGGAAAGACCGGGGAGCATCAGAGAGATCAGTAGATTCTCTGTGACAAGTCCTCCCAGTGAAAGCAATGACAATGGAGTTGCTGGACACAAATCAGCTTGGGCAGGTCTCCCTCAGGTTTCTGGTCCCCTCAGGACTGAGTCTGTGTACCTAGCAGCTCAGGCTGGCTGTACAGATGTCACATTTAAAGAGAACGGGGCTTCTGTGGTGCAGAGATGGTTTGAGTTTGTCCCCCAGGGTCCCATTGTGTGGTGTGGAGAGGTGGAGCCCTCAAGAATGAATGCAGTTCTTAAAGGAACTCCATAGGTTCCTGAGCGAGGGTTGCTGTAAAAATGTGTCAGGCCTCTCTTCACCTCCGGCTTCCTGTCTCACCATGGGATCACTCCCTTTTGGTAAGTTGTTAAATTTCCCAGGCTGGGTGATTGAACTTGCAATCCTCCTGCGTGGGATTACAAGTTTGGGTGTCCAAGCTTGGCTTTATCTTTTTACATAAAAAGACCATTGAAAAAGGTTGTACTATATTTGCTTGAATACTTACTGAACCTACTTGGTGCTTTCTCATCTACATGCATTAAGGGGCATAAGGTGAGGGAGGAAGCTTGAAACCCAACAGAGGGCGGGAAAAGAGTTCAGTGTCCCTAGGATGGGGGTAGGACCGGAGACAGACACAGGATGCAGTGGTGGAAGAGCTGACACCTAGGTGAACCCGTGATGTTAAAACCACTGCACCTGCTACAGCCAGTGGGATGTATGTGCATGCTTGTGTCTATATGTGTGTGCGTGTGCGTATGTGTGTGTGCATGGGGTCCTTCTGGCAGGCTCACACACTCAGGTGGACTCTTCTCATTACACCAATGGTGCAGACTCAACCAAAGGAACCCAGTGAGTGAAGCTGGCTGGGGCAGTGTGGAACCACTATGACAAATAGCCACTACCCAGCACCAACAGCTTGGATAGTCTCATCTTTGAGAGGGGACACAAGCCTGGATTGTTAGGTGGAAACATAGACTTTTCTATGTTAGCATTTAAATCAGAAAGGTCCTAACCTCACACAGGCAGACAGCATGCGTGTCATAGCTGAGCCTTGTACAGCTGCCCTTGTGGCCCTTTCCCTGGCCTGCGGCTGACGTCAGTGTGTGTGTGTCCCCAGGGGCTGTCCTCTCTCAGGCTGCCATGAGGGGGAGGGAACTCATGGAAGAACCTGGAGACAGACAGAGTATGGTGCCATGGGTCATAGTTTGCCTGGTCCAACACCAAGGCCTGCCAAAGTCCCCAAAGGATGCTGTGGCTCCAAGGGCTCACAATTCACTTTGTTTACCTCTTAGCTGTCAGAGGAGATCCAGTGCTCCGTGGCCAGCCACCTGCTATCGCTGGTGAAGTCAGAGAAGAACCGGCAGGTCATGTGTGAGGCAGGCATGCTCAGGACACTCATGACCTCTTGCCTTGGGGCCTTCCGCACTAGTAGCAGCCCCCTGCATGCGCATCTCATCAGGATTTTTGAAAAGCTCGCTTCACAGGCCATCGAGCCCGACGTGCTGAGGTACCATGTGCATGTGCACAGAATCCTGCAGATTGTGCTGCTGGGTGATGGGTGCACCTTGAGCAGCAGTGCCTCTGCAGGGACAGGTGTCCCGAGACCCCTCCCTGTCCTGCCAGCATTCAACGCTGGGGCCCACAGATGCGCCCTTGGTCTGTGCTGAGCAATATGCCAGTGCCCATGAGGCAGGCAGAGCCCACACGTGGCCACAGTTGTTCAGGGAGGGGGGCTTCCAGGAGGTGAGGCTGAGCTGAGCCTCAAGGCCTAGGCAAGTTCCTGGGGAACCCCAGGGGAGGGGGAGGCAGCCTACAGCAGGAGCCGATGTGCAAGATGTGAAGGCACAGTAGATGGTACAGGAGGGAGGTGGAGGGTCTCCGAGGTCCCTATGCCATGCCAGAGGGACGCATGGAGGGCAGCGCTAAGAGTCATGCTGCCCAGTCCCTGCATACACATGGGAGGAAATGCAGAGAGCCATAGGCCAGCCCCTCCAACCAGTGGGAGAGCCAGGCAGGCTACCATGGTGGCAGGAAAAATCCTAGAGGTCTGTGAACAGCACACCTCACAAGATTCCCCTTGAGGCTGTTAACCCTTCCAGCTCCCTGACTGCATGGCCCAGCAAGGACAGTGTGTCTCTGCATGATGATTGGGAAGGCAGAAGGGCAGAGGGAGCAGGGTGCTGGGTGTCTAAGGAAGTGGTTCAGATGAAGTGGGAGAAAACTTCTGCCTGTACCATCTCCTCACTTGGTTCTCCCATATGTTGTCATGTCCAGGCAGTTTCTAGGACTAGGAATTCCCCCACCCCTGTCAGCTGCAATGAAGCTCCTCAAAGCATCTCCTGAGGGCAGCAGAGACACCCCTGGGTGCTCAGGTATGCTAAGGAAGTGACAGCAGGCTCGCGGGTGTGGGGACAGATCACTCACAACAGGGGGGAAAGGGTCAAATTTAAGAATGGTTTTATCTGCTGCTCAGTGGTCAGGGTCCCTGGAGAAAGGCCAGATCCAGTGGGAAAAGGATGCCTCCCTTCACATAAATTGGGTGCTGGGAGCACTGGCCTGCCGTCCAGGGCCTGGATCACGAGACGGTGATGGAGTTTCCTTCACAACCTCATGGCACCTGGTGTGCCCCAGGCAATGGGCACACCACAGCCTTCCTGTACCCTTCACAACTCTGGCAGGGAAAGGGGGGGCGGAGAGGAGCCTAGGTGATGACCAGAGGGAGGATGTTGTCCAGAAAGGCAGCTGGGAGAAACAGAAGCTGCAGACACCTCAGGTGTAAGATCACACAGGACACCATGGTTGAGAGGCAAGGGAGGAGGAGCAAGTGTGGACCTGGTGGCATGGGGGAGCCAGGGTGCTGGGGCTCAGCCAGGCAGGGCAAAGGGAGGAGCTGGCCACATAGCTATGGAAACACTGGACTAGAAAGGGGCACACGCTGGAATGAAAGGGAGGCGCTTCCTGGAGGGCCAGGTCATCGCCCCTCTCCGTCGCTCCATGAGGCAGCAAAGCCCAGGTTGGAAGTACCAGTGACTTTGCTGCGTGCTCCACTTGGGTGGGGTGAGGTGGAATCATGGGCCAGGGATGTCTTTTTTCTTGCTTGCTATTGTAGAGTCTCCAACCACAGATCCTGGAACAGCTGAGGGACCTGCCAATGCCAGTCCTGCTGTGGCTCGGGACAGTGCATCCTCTGGCGCAACCCGCGATTCCACTCCAGCCCTTCAGACAGCACTGAGCCTCATCTCTATGACCTCCCCACGCAACCTGCAGCCACACAGGGCGGCCCTGGCTCCATCCTTTGTGGAATTTGACATGTCTGTGGAGGGTTACGGGTATGAAAGAAGTCCATACCCCAGGAAAGCAATTTATTAGCTTCCCAGCACCTCTGGTGCACCTAGCATGGATTACAAAACTAGTCCCTGGCTTTTCCCACTTCTCTCAGTCATGGGCATCTGCTCCTCCGTGACATCTCGGGGCAGTGTCCCCAGCCGGGAGGACCAGAGCCCCCTTCCCTGCCATGGCTGCCTCCTAGAATATGCCACCTTGTCCCATCTCCAGTGTGGGCTCCCTTCTTTGGGGTCTCCTAACACCCCAACTGCTTTCTGTCCTTGGGATATGCCCCCAAGTCCTGCAGTCCTGACCAACAGAGCTGATGTGGGAAGCTGCTTGTAGGTCAGTGACCCGAGGTGGTCTCCTCTTCCCAGGTGCCTGTTTATTCCAACCCTGTCTACCATTATGGGAACCAGTACTGAGTATTCTATCTCCGGAGGGATTGGGACAGGTAGGTCTCCTTTGGCCCTAGGAGTGAGTCTTCTTGTAGCCTCAGTGGTCAGTGTCCACTTGGCATTTCCAAAAAGTGTGTCTTCCCCTTGGTCCTGAGTATCCACAGATGGTCATCCTGTAGCTGCTGAGTTTGCTTGCGCCCTCTAGGACAAGGGTCTTGGGCACCGTGTGTCCTAAGGCTTCAGCCCACGGCCAGGCTCAGTCAAGGTGACTGGGTCACTGAGCCTGGGTCTGATTCATTGTGTGGCACCTGGCCTAGGCAGAGACGGGCACATCGCCTGCCTTGAGGGTCCCAACTTCCAACAGCAGGTGGGTGCTGAGAGCTGGTGCCTTCAGGGGCTGGGGAAGACCTGTTTCCAGGAGGGGTTGCCAACAAGTGTCCTCCATCCATGTGTGTCAGCAGCTCTGTTGTGGGGCAGAGGGCATGGGGGCTTCCCTGGAGTGGAGCATGAACCTGTCAAATGTCCTCTGTCCCATGTAACACAAAGCCTGGCTTCAGACCAACTGAGCCAGGGTCCCGGTGGTGACAGGCCTTGGGGACAGTGGTGACCTCTCTGGTCCATGGCCAGGCAGCCGGGATTGTGGGGAGCAGACTGGGAAAGACTTCGAGACCTTGGTGTAGTCCAGCAGAAACACATCGGGGCAGGAATGCTGCTGGCTTCCGAGAGCCTTCTCCTTGTCCTGTAGTGATGGGACAGCAGCGTCCTTGATTGTGAACTGGACACAGTGGCGTGAGGCAGGCTGGGCCCGGCACCTCCTCTGGGTGACACAGGCATTGATCCTGGTGAGCCCACACTTACTTCCCAGGGGGCAAACCTAAGGCTGTGCTTGTGTTGTGACAGGAGGAGCCAGGCCCTTCCCTCCGCCTGGGGGCCTCACCTTCTCCTGCTGGTTCCTGGTCAGCCAGCAGGCCACTGTCACGGACGCCCACCCGCTCCGCTTCCTTACACTGGTGCGCCACCTGGCCAGGACCGAGCAGCCCTTTGTGTGCTTCTCTGCCAGCCTCTGCCCGGACAGCCTCTCCTTGGTGGTGTCCACAGAAGAGAAGGAGTTCCAGCCCCTGGGTAAGCCTTGGGATCCAAAGTAATTTTGCCACACTGCGGCAGAGGGGGCTGAGTTAGAGGCTCTGGCCTTGGACACATGTAAAGCCTGGTGACTTCCAGTCTGCATCTTTGGGGCGTGGTCTCTTGGTTCTACACTTGCTGGAAGAGCTAAGCAGATAAGGGTTTTGTGTTCAAGGCCTGGACCTTAGCTTCAGAGGTAATGCTCACGGCTTCCCAGAAGAGTGGCCATGAAGGGAACTCAGGCTTTGCAGTCCCTGGCTGCTCCTGGTCCTGCCCTTGGGGCCTTGGCCTTGTTCTCCAAGCTCACCTATGTTAGGGGGCCCCAGAGTATCCAGGCCACCTGATCCTCTGGTGTTCTGGGAATCAGTTTCTTAGGTAGCACAAGGAAAGTCCAAGTAGGTGACATCCTCGGTCATAGCAAGTTGCCTCCTGGGCCTTGGCTGTGTGTGTGTCACCATGGAAATCCTCTACTGTGGGTGGTACCTTATTGAAATTCGGCACCTGGGATTTAATCCTTGCAGGGCAACCTTGGAGGAGTTAGCTAAGTTCTCTGTGCTTCAAGAGGATGAATTTGAAAAAGCCAAGCATCTACCCCACAGTGTATTTGTGACAAAAAAACATGACTGTTCCTGCTGGTGTTGTTATGTTTTATAAGAAGGCTAGACCATTTCCCCAGGTGCCAGGCCTGATGAGGGATGCCACATGATAGTTTAATATTTATGCTCTCTTCCAGATGTCATGGAGCCTGAGGACACTATTGAGCCCTCTGCTGGACGCCAGCTTCAGGTCAGGTGTGGCCAGCTGTTGACCTGTGGTCAGTGGCATCACCTGGCTGTGGTTGTCACCAAGGAAATGAAAAGAAACTGTACTGTTTCCACATATCTGGATGGACAGGCTATTGGCTCAGCCAAGGTGAGATAGCATCCCCACCCCTGCTGCACTGGCCTCCCAGCCCTGTCACTCTGGAGGGGCCTTGACTCAGCTCTATGTTTTCTTTTGGGAACAGGTTTGATGTCTAGGAGAACACACTTGCTGCCCAAAATGTTGACTGAGGACAGGCATGGAAAGGATGTCTTAGCACAATGGAATGAAGGTCACAAAACCAGGGCAGAAGGCTGGATGTGGGGCTAGATCTGTAAGAACAGTCAGAAGAAGACATGTCAGTCTCAGGGACACACGAAACTAAGCCTCTCACACTTTAAGGTGCATATTCCCCAGAGAGATCTGGACAGGGCCTAAGGTCTGACTTTTCTAAGATGCTTCCTGGAGAGGACAACAGAGGTGGTCTGCCCACCATTCTTGGGAGCAAGGCACCAACACATCTCCCTTACTTTGACCCAAGGCTAATGAGGAAGATCACAGAATGTGAGCATGCAGAGGGAGGAAGCTTCTCCACACCCTCATGTGGAGATGTCAGAGTGTAAAGGAGACCAAGGAGTTGGCAGGAATGTGATATAGAGCAGCTTCTGTCAGAGGTCCCCAAGGAACCTGGGGCGGAGAGGAGGACTCAGACACCAGGGTGGGTAGGGACAGCTGGCTTTCCATTCAGGTTCCAAAGAGAGCCTCACCTGTGCTACTTTCTAGAATCACCTGTACAGGCTTTTTAAAACTCTTGTATACTGACACTGAATACATCCCGGATTAGTTACACTGGACCCTTTGTGAGTTGGGTAACTGAACAATTCAGTAGAGTTTTCCAAATTTCCCAGGTTGCTCTAGTATGCATCCAGGTTTAGGTAGAAATCTGTTTCTTTGCCTGTCTGGATAGTCACTTGCTTTAGCATTACTTGTTGAAAAGCTGTTAGCCTACCATTAAATTGCTTTTGCACCTTTGTCAAAAATTAGTTGTGCAAAGTTGGGTAAGTTTGTTTCGGGGCTCTCTGTTCTGGCCCATTTATCTCTAACGATCACTCTATCAATACACTATCTTGATTATTATAGTTAGACCATATAATTTGTTATGGGCAGTGTGCTTTCTCCCACTTATTCTTTTTCAAAATTGTTTAAGCTATTCTAGAGCCTATGTTTTCCATATCAATTTTAGAATTAACTTGTCTATGAGTACAAAATAATCTTGCTGAGATTTTGATAGGAATTGTATTATACCTGTAGATCAATTGGAGGAAAATTTTATCTTTACTGTAGTGAATCTTTCTATCCATGAACATGGTACACTTGTATAGGTCTTCATTGAATTTTCATGATCATTTTGGAATTTCAGTGTACAGATCCTGTTCATGTCTTATTAAATATGTAACTTTTATTGGAACAATTGTTTTAAATTTTAATTTATTCTTACTTGTTAGTCTATAAATATGTAATTTTTTTGTATGTTGATTTGATATCCTGTAAATTTGATGTGCTCACAGTAGTGACAAATCTATGGCATGTGTGCTGCAGTAGGCTGTTCATATCATTGAAAGCTCTAAAAAGTTCATCATCAATGTTCTAGGGGATTTAAAAAATTCCTTGGAATTTTCTATGTTGGCATGTCACTTGCTAATAGACAGTTTTATGTATTCTTTTTTAAGCTATATGGCTACAATTGTTACTATTCTATGAAGCTTCATCAGTGTGCCAATAATGGACATTTAAGTTTTTAGTAGAATGACTGGAAAGAGAGACGGACTTTTGTGTTTCCTTCTGTGTCCCATAGAATTTGTTTCCAACAGTAGTGCCAGCTTGTTACTTACACCTGCATTTCATAGTTTGTTTTACTTCATGCTTCTTAGATCTGAGTTCTCTTTTTAATTTTGTAGATAAAGTAACATTTTACTTCAATAAGAGAACATGTTGCATCATTTTGTGCTTATTTGATTAATTCTGAGATCAAGCACCAAGTAATTCTGAGATCAAGCTCCCTTCTCCATCCAATTTTTTTCACAGATGCTTTACATCCAGGCCTTGCCAGGACCCTTTATTTCAATGGACCCATCCTCATTTGTGGATGTCTATGGGTACATTGCAACCCCTCGGATTTGGAGACAAAAGTCATCATTAATCTGGCGTCTTGGCCCTACCTACCTCTTTGAAGAACCCATATCAATGGATACTCTGGAAGTAATTATCAAACTTGGGCCAAGATACTGTGGTAACTTCCAGGCTGTTCTAGGTATGGAGTGTTTTGATTTATAATGTTTTTGCTGGTATTAGTTTTTAAATGGGCATCTAGTTATTTATAGCACATTTGTAAAGAATAAACTCAGCACAGGTCAGTCATTAGGGAAGACCTCTGTAATTGGATCATTATATATTTACAACCCAACAGAAAATGTCACAGAAAAGGAAATGATAATATCCTTTAGATTTCATCTCCAGAGCTCCTAATGGAGGAGGATGGGTGGGTAATACCATCGGCAAAGAAAGAGAGAAGAGAATGAGATAAATAAGTTACATTCCTTTTAATGAAGAAGCTTTTTAACTAAAGTATACTGTTGTCTTCAATTATTAAACAGGCAGACAAAACATCCACATTCACCATATTGATTGTTGGCTGTTCAAGCAGAGAACATTGCTCTCTGCGCTCATCAAGTCGGGGGTCAGCTCCCATCTGGGAAGTGTGATAAATGTATTGGGGCAGGGAGGCCTTGTGCATGGGGAAGGACGACTGAGTGCTGCTGAGTGTTTCTGTCTCCAGGCCTGTGTTTTGTTCGAACTTCATTTCCTGTGGCAAATGGCATTGACCAGAGCAATGGGACCAGGTCAGGGCTGCAGCCACAGCCACTCCAAAAGTCTGTCTTCACACACCACGCATCTCTAGCATGATATTGGGTGCTGCTGATTTGGGGTCAAGCTGCTGATTCCAAGTTGGATACTCACCCTGGCCATGTAGCTACTGAAAAATTTCCTACTTCCCTTTTCATAAACCAGATTTCTTACCCTTTGGCACACTGGCTTTGGAGAGCAAGGTTAAGACTTGATAGATGTTTTAAACTCTGGTAATTTAATACCTGGAATATCTCTACTTTATAGAAGGCTTAATCTTGGAGATGTGGCCACAGCTTTTGTAAGTGTCAGAGAAGCACAGGGTGGAGCAAAGCATAAGACATATTAACATACAACTTTGCGAAAACATGCAGTATAGCAACATACAAACCTCCTGTCAGTGATTACTTTGCTGTGTGACTGTGGCTGTTTAATTGTCTGACGGTTAATTTCCTTCTCTGTAAAGAGAGATTACACCTAACTGGAGATGTGTTGCTACAGGAGAAGACTCAGATGGTGAGGCCACGCCCCTCATTGCAGAAGAAAAGGTTTCCTTTGGCCTGCACGTGACCAGCTCCTCCATCACCAACGTGGCAGACCTCAGAAACACCTACAATGAGGTGGACAGCCGCCTGATCGCCAAGGAGGTAGCCCTTGTAGCTTTGCTGTCATTCCCTGTTGGTATCTTGATCCCATGGCTTGCTTTGGTTTCTGGTGCTTAAGTAAACACTGATTTATGTTTGAGTGTGGCTGAATAGATACATGCATGTATAAGCTTTACTTCATTTATTGCTTTTTTACCCATCATCCCGCAGGACTGATCCTTTTATTTATAATTACTCTGAGAGGAAAGTGGGAGCTCTTCCTAGTAGAGCAAGAACAAGTGGAATTTTTTCACTTCTGTTGTGATTGTTTCACTTCTGTTACAGAGAGCAATGCTGGTCTTCCCTTTGGATTCTACTGACCCCTCAATGCTGCAAAAATGGGCTTTGAATTGCTGTGACATTTTAAAAATAGTAAACTTGCACAAACACAGGCAAATCTGTATAAACAAGGGTGCCCTGCACCCTCACTTCTAGTTCCTGCGTAAAGATCAACTTTGGTTTAGTGCTGACCTATGTTGGCTGATCTGTTTATGTTATTATCACCCTCAAGAAAGCACCCTGCAGCAGGAGGGTCAGGGACTAGGTGCTGCCACACCACCACTTTGCTCACTGCACAGAGCACTTCCCAGTGAAGGTTGCCCCAATTCCTTTCTCATACCCTTCACCAATGAGGAGGGCTCAGGCTTTGCAGAATGGGGACAACCCAGGCTTAGAAGGCTGTGACTGCCTCAGCATGCTGGGTCCCCTGAGGTGACCTTAGGTTCTTCCTGCCCTCCTGAGCCCTCACTAAAAGCTATTTTCACCAAAGTCACACAGTGAAGACACAGTTTGGGAACAGGACAGAGGGCCCCACATTTTGGCTTCCATCCCCTGACATTGGTTCAAGTATGATTCACCCTTTAATCATCGCCTATGGAGAACCAGCCCTGGTCAGGCCCTGGGGACCCTAACTTCTATGGGGCTCATGACCAACACCCCCTCTTTTCTAGGAGACTTTCAGGACTAATTGTTGCCAATTTCTGTAGATGAACATTTCCTCCCGTGATCATACTACACCTGTGTTCCTGCTGAGAAATTGTGCTGGACACCTCTTAGGTTCGCTCCGGACCCTTGGAGCTGTTGCTGTGGGCCAGTTAGGTAGGTTGGCAGGGAAAATTTACTGCTCTTCAGGAAGAAGGGCCAGTGCCCCCTAGAACTGCAGTGCGGGTTGGAAGTGGTGTGCTAGAGTCCAGGCCAGGAGGGCCAGAGTGGGAACCAGAGGGCACAGAGATCAGCAACCCCTGGTCCATCTGAGGACTGGTGGAGAACTCAGCTACAAGCACGCTGGTGCCCAGTAGAGCCTGCCTAGGAGGAGCGGCAAGGGAAGGTCATCATTGTCTTCAGAGACTTACAGGCAGCACCTGCTAGTCACCAGGCAGTGGGGCAAAAGCCATGCAGTGAGCTGCTGCAAGGCCCCAGCCCAGCAGCGGGCAGAGGGCAGGAGAAGTCCCAGGTGTTCAGGAAAACAAGCTGCAGATTGTGTCTAGCTCCTCAGCACTGTGGATGCAGGACAAGTGCCACCCTATAGCCTCTGGGTTTCAGCCTTCCGATGATACAGACAGCCCTCCATAAGGGCCCTCACTTCTTGAGAGTCTTTTGCAGCCCCTCCCTCCTGCCTTTTCCCGTCTTCTGGACAGAGGCCTGGGTGGCCCCTGCACACTCCTGCTGTGGGGACTTTGCATGGCAGCGTGGCTGCAATGGACTGATCCAACACCTTCTTTGTCCCTCGCAGGAGTGCGGGTCTTTCACTCCAGCCCTGCTGCCAGCAGCTTGGACTTCATCGGTGGTCCCGCTATCCTCCTGGGCCTCATCTCCTTAGCAACAGATGACCACACCATGTACGCAGCTGTGAAGGTCCTGCACTCCGTCCTGACCAGCAACCCCATGTGTGACCGTCTGATGCAGCACATCAGCGGGTACCAGGTAACCCACCTCAGCCGAGCCCACAACAGAGAGATAGAGATAAGCTCTGTTGCCACAGGGACATTTCCTCCAGGGTGACTTTTGGCTGGTGGCAGGCCCTGGGACTAGCATGGTCACAGCAGAGGAGGACCAGGTGACAGCCAGCCTGTGTGGGTCTGAGCTGGGTGTGCACCTGTATGTAGCTTCTGGTGCTTTCTCTGGTGACTCTAGGATGCTCTGTGTGTCCTCCATTGCTGCCTCTACCACATCTGCAGGGCCAGCCTGCTGGGCTGGGAATCCTGCCTCATCCTCTAACTTGTTCCGTGACCCTGAAAGAGTTATTTTTCCTCTCTGCCTTAGTGTCCCCATCTGTAGGGATATGGACTGCCAGAGCTCATGCATCATAGGGCTGCTGTGAACATTAGCTTTCATATAAACAAGGGGCTCCACACTCTGCTCAGAACTGCTAGCTACATGAATCCTTTGTCTGTCTGTGTCTGTTTCTCCACGTGTAAACCAGGAGTAACACACCTGTTGTGGAGGAGTGTGCTGATTATACATGCAAACATAGGTTGGGGTCCTAGAAGGGTGCTTGTGCTGGGAAAATTGTGCATGGGCAATGTGATGGTCACTGTTGTTTACATCTGACCAGGTCAGAGGAGAGATGGATACTGTCTTTGAGTGACTGCTGCAAAGCAGGGAGGTGGCCCTTGAGATGCCATGGGAGCAGGAGCAGAGGCACACACTGCAGTCACCCTACTAGGTTTTAGCAGGGGAGGAAGGGGTGGTCAGATCACCGATGTGGCAACACTGTGACCAGGACAGTCTGAAATGGTGTTGCTGGGTATGTTAGAAGAGGAGGGCAGTGTCTTTCTGGGTATGTTAGAAGAGGAGGGCAGTGTCTGGGAGAGGAGAGAGGACAGCGTTAGGACCAGAGGTGGGGAACTGAGCTGTGCAGGAGATGAGTGGGAGCTCAGTCAGAGGGGAGGAGGACTCAGATGCCAGGGAAGGCTGCACTCTTGGTGCTGTGTGACCCAGGTCACTAGGAGGAGCACTTGGTGGGATGCATCTTCCTAGGCTCTGGGAGGGGCTGGCTCCTGAAGGCCTTGCTGGGACCCCACTGGGTGGTAGGATGTAGGCACCATTAGCTTCCCAGCACCATGGAATGACACATCTGGTGGCCGCAGAAGAAGCAAGGCTGGTGTGACCAGGCTCCTGGGCAGATGGAGTCTTACTGGTGATGCTTCAGCTCCTATGAGATGTTTATGCATAAAGGCTGCAGGAACAGAAAATGGGAAGCCAAGGGGGGACCAAGAGCACTTATCACCTGGGGCAACACCAGGGAGGAGATTCAGAGAGAAGCGGGAAACCCAGAGAGAGGCCAAGTCACCCAAGCTCAGGAAAGGGGACACCAGCAGGGCAGGAGCCCCAGAGTCAGCACAAGCTTTTCTTCTGAGAACGTGGAGACAGGGATGGCAGCTCAGGGAGCAGGGCTTTGCCAACAGGTCACTCAAAGGTGGGTTGTGGAGGGAGGATGAGCCCTGCCAGGCATTCACAGGCCACTCTGTGTGCCACCTTCTCAGATCCTGGCATTCCTCCTGCGGAAGAAGACCTCTCTCCTCAACCACCGCATCCTCCAGCTCATCCTCTCTGTGGCTGGCACTGCGGAGCTGGGCTTCAGGCCATCTGCTGTCACCAACATGGGTGTCTTCCAGCACATTCTTTGTGACTTTGAGGTAAACCAAACAGCTAGGTCATTCAGGAGTGTGTGGGTGATGGTAAAAGTCTAGAAGTTCCTGTACGCCTGTTGATCAGCTTCCCCCAGAGTCCCCAAGGCAGGGACCACATAAGTTCTGGAGTCCTGGTGTGGATTCTAGTTAAATCCTGCCACCTCTGGGCTGTGCAGCCTTGGGCAACATTCTTGGCCTGCTGGGGCCCTGTTATCCCCATGTGTGGTATGGATACTGTCATTTTGTTCTTGTGGGCTCTGGTGGACTTAAACCAGGTAATACCTGAGAGAGGAATCTGAGTTATGAAGCATCATATCCATGTGAGGGTTTAAGAGAGTGGCCCCAATTCTTTTGGATGGCACTTTGCTATTTCCAATGATTCTTTGAAAGAGTGACTGCAGAGGGGCTGATGGGTGTGGGCTGTGTCTTGTCATTCCCCCAATGCTCAGTATCCAGCACCTCCTCACTGCCAGGTGGCTGGGTGCCACAGCAGGGCAGGCACAGGATGAGAAGAAAAGAGCCATGCAGCTTTAGTGAGTGGTGTCCGGGGCTGAGTCGTAGAATCCAGGGGGAAAGAGCCTCCTGGTGTGGGTCTGCTGCCTATGGACCTTCCACATGGGCACAGTTTGGTGTCCTGTGCACGCGACCTGGTGGCACAGGCGGGTCTGTGCCAGTGCAGGTTGGATGAGGCTGCAGGGGAGGAAAGGAGATGAGAAAAGGTGCTGATGGTGAAAGTGCAAGCTTCAGTCTCTCTAGGTCTCTTTAGGAGAACCAGGGGATGGTTTTAAAAGCCGCTTCTTTCTTACACATTACTGTAGAGTTTTAAGTTAGAATGTTATGGGGAACACCCTCCTATTCCCAAGACCCTGTCCACTAACGTTGAGTTTGGGTGATTCTCTCTGCATTTTCTCCCTGATCATACTCATGATCACACTAGAGCTGTTACTGTGAGCCACGCCTTTTTCCACGTAACAAATGCGTTTCAGTATTTTCACTCTGGACACACGCAGGCACTACGCAGAGGTGGGAGGAACAGTCAGCCACGCGGCGAGTTCCTGGCATCCTCAATACCCCTCCAGTTGCAGCGCTGCTCTCCACTTTAAATCATTTTCCTAGCATAAGCTATCAAAGTTGAACAGTTAGGATAAGGCCTTTATAAACCATTTTTAGACAGTCAATAAATTTTGCCAAACTGCTGCTATTAACAGGATGTTAAATGAAGATGGACATGCTGGGATTTCATTTCAGGTGTGTCACTCTGGGGGCAAAAGGCCTGAGCAGGGGATCGATCGAGAGATGGCTGCAGAAATTCAGGTGGAAAATTTGAAAGCCACATTGAGGCAAAATCAGCGGAGTTAAAGAGGGGCATCAGTGATGAAGTCACCATGCAGATTAGAACTGAAGGACAGTGGCAGGACTAGCTATCCAAACTCTGTGGGACTGCTGCTGGAAACAGGGCCAGGGGATTTATAGCCATCCATGTCTACATTAGAAAGAGAAAACATTTTTAAATTAATGAATAGAGCTTCTAGATCAGGAAGTTAGAATGACCAACCAACCAACCAACCAAAGAAAAAAACCAAAAAACAAAGCTCCAAGAAAAAAGGAAAGAAAAAAATAAAGATGAGAACATAATAAAATGGGAAAGGTAAAATGTTCAGAGAGTCACTAAGATCTGGTTCCCATGAAACGGATAAACCTCTGTTAAGACCAGTCAGTGGCTGGAGGTGTAGCTCAGTGGTAGAGCACTTGGCCAGCATGTGTAAGGCCCTGGCTTCTGATCGCAGCACTGAAAAAGATGGTCAAGAAAAAAAAGGCAGAAAGCCCCAACAAATAATATGGGGAAGGAAAGGGGGAGACTATTGCAATGAGAAAGGTCATATGAAAATAAGGTCAGAAATATTGTGTGAATGAGTTAGAAAACTCAGCTCATTTGAACCATCTTAGAGAAAATTTATGTTTCCCAAACTTGTTTACTCCAAAAGAAATAAAAAGCCCAAATGATCCCATCACCATCAAGTCAATGGAATCATTGGTTTGAAATCTGTATAAGCCAACTTCCTATGTGAAGAAACTCTAAGCCAGGGGGTTTGTAAGGAAAATCTGTTAGGAGGGCAGCAAGCTGTCTCTGACTAAAGAACCCTCTCAGGAGGCAGAAAAGGAATGGGCGCCCTCCCAGCTCACCCGATGAGTTAATCTTAATACCAAATCAAAAAGTCACAGCAGAAATGAAAAATGCAGCATGATCTTAATCATAAATGTAGCTGCCAAAGTCCTGAATATGATATTAGAAAACAAAAAGGAGGAGTCTCAGGACTTCTGGGTTTGTGTTGAAGGTGAGAGACTTAAGTCTGATTGTAGCCTGAGGGAAAAGAGGCAGCAAAGATGGGGCAGTGTCTTAACTAGTGGAAGAAGAGATGGTTGTAGAATAGTCCTAAAAAGAGATGGAGAGTTTGGAGACAAGAAGGTGCAATCACTGATGACTGGTGTGTAACAGGGAAGAAAAAAACATTGAGAAACAGGGTGGGACAGGAAGTTGAGGGGTAGGTGAGACAGGAAGTTGTGAAGCTAGAAGGGACAGGAAGTTGACAGGTAGGAGAGACAGGAAGTGGAGAGGCAAGGAGGCATAGCAAGTTGAGGGTATTCAAGTCTCAGGCTTCTGGTTTCTTAAAGAAGCTCATTTCTAAGAGTGAAGTGATCTCAGGGTTAGGGAGAGAGCAGCATCTGAACACCGTCTATTCACTGTTCAGACAAATCTAACCAGGGACATCAACACAGTCCTTGGTATAAGATTATGTGATGCAGGACAACAACCAAGAGGATCATTTTTCTATGTCTCCCAAAATTCAGATATTTAGTATAATGCAGAGAAATTTCTATACTCTGGGAAGCACAGGCAGGAGAATTGCAAGTTTGATTCCAACCTGGGCATCTTAGTGAAGTAGTGAGACCCTGTCTCAAAATAAAAAATAAAACAGGGCTGGGGATGTGGCCCAGAATGAAAGCCCTAGGTTTGATCCCAACTACTAAATGAATGGCTGAATGAATAAATAAGTTTCTAGAAAAGCTAGTAATCTTGACTAGTTGTGGTAAGTTATTGTTGATCTAATGTGCTGGACAGGAAATGGAAATGGGGGGGCCAGGTGCTCCTGTAGGAATGGGACAGAGACCCACATCACTAGATGAGAGTTTTGACTCTCACTTTCTCAGCTTGTGGTTCACAGCATTAAGCTGTTTGTGGCTGAATGACTAGATTCATGAGCGAATGCTCCAAGTATACAGGACTTCTTGAGTGCTACAGGTGGGGGTGTTTGGGTGCCCTGCTTGGCATCCCTAGCTTTCTGTGTGCCCTAGGGTAGTGTCTGTGCTTGTACTAAATTATACTAAGGGCTGCAAAACTGTCAGCTGGGTCTGGCTTCAAAGCACCACACTTAGTTGCTTTGCTTCTATTCTTCTAAAAAACGTAACTGATCCATATTAAGCTCACACAACTTGACATGTGTGGTGCCAGGCTCCTGGAGTTAGAGAGAGGTGGTCCGATGAACTATGTCCACAGGGCTCTCTGCATTTCTTCCACAGTCAGAACATAAAGGAGGGACACCTGCCTATTTCAAGTGGGCTCATCATTGGCCCTGTGGGTCACCATCTGCTCCCTCTACTGTGCAGACAAGAGAATACCAGGTTTTGACACCATCTGTGCCTGCCAGAGACTAGGGTGACTCAGTCTCCCTGAGCCTCACTCTCGGAGGAAGATACCATAGTCCTGCCTTGTCTGTGGTTTGACTGCAGACAGGTTCAGTTACTCACCATCAACCAGAGTCCAAAACTATTAAATGGAAAATTCCAGAAGCCAACAACTCATAAATTTTATTTATTTATTTATTTATTTATTTTTATTTTAAAGATAAAAGGAGGGAAACATTAACAGACATACAACATTTTACAACATATCACAAGCACAATACAGACAACACAGAGTTACAAACAAAGTGGTAGGGAATTAACAATGCCCGACTCTTTTTAAATTAAAATTACAGACGTGCGCCACCATGCCC